CTAAATGATGAGTCAGTTGAGATTGTGTGACAGGTATTGGCGAGGTGTTGAGTTATTGCGCTTCTGATTGAACCAGTGCCTCCTCTTTGCAGCCATAGTGGATGATGTTCTGTAACACTTTTTGATAAGACCCGCATAGAACGATCTATGTACCTAGCTCCGCACGAGCAAGTGAACTGGTATATGCACAGTGAACTGGTCATATGCGAGAGTTTGTCCTTCGTGTTGTTTCGAAGTGTTGGACGGCTAGAGAATGTCACCCTTAGTGTTGCTGCAGGGAAGGTCTCTCTAGTAGAGAGCCGAATGCACTAAGGCTGTGCCAGTGAGACTATATGTTCAACCGAATACACAAGTAATGAATAATAATAATAATGATAGTAATAATTGCTGTTCATGAATACATAGATATTGTTTTGTCTCCTTCTCTTTATTAACTCATTACTGAACCCTGGATTCACATTATGTAAGACATTAGCTCTACCATATGCCTTTAGGGCTTCAAAAGTGGAAGAAGAAATTGTTATTTGTAGAAATGTTTTCCAGTTGAGCACCAACAATCGATAAGGTGTGTCACTTTCAAATGAAGGATAACAAACTTAAGAAGCTATTGTGGCGCCAGAACTACAGTGAGTAAAATTGAGTTTGACTAATTGTCAAAGGTTTAGCTGTCTAGAGAGATAAGTAAAAGGGTCAAGCTAATAATAGATATGGTAACATTGATCACTGTTAGATAGCATGAATCAGTCAGTAAGATACCGTCTACTGACATTCAGTATCAGTTAATCGACACTTCAGAGCTCTGAAAATATCACCAAAATTTAAGTGTGAATGGGAAGTTTTCCGATAAAGTGAAGTCAGTTCAAAAATGTTCAGAAAGGCATGAAAACCAGATACACGGCATTATGAATTGTCCTTAAAAATACAAAAAGTTAATGTCACAAGAACTAATAAAGCTACTAGAAAAAGATCTAAGCAGCAAAACAACTAACATAAATAAGTAAATTGTGCTGTAAAATATACAGGTTACATTTTTAGTGGTTTTGTCAATTGCATACACGCACACATTCACATGGCATCCTCAAACAGAACCTATAATACCTTCCATTGCAGCTAGTCATTTCTGAGTGTTTTTTACAGATAATGTTGTTAGTTTATTGTTTGTAACCACACTTCAAAGAAGAATCAAGATGAACTTGTAAAAATTCTCAGATGAACTACTTGACAATCTCTTTTGAAGAAGAATAAATGAGTGTCGCAACTCTCTGTTTAGGTGGTACAGAGGTAAGGACTCTTGCCAACCATGCACCTGGTCCTAGGTTCGATCCCCTGCCGATGCACACCTGATATACTGTACCAAAAGTACAGTATGGAATCAAGCTATAATAAGAAAAAAACCTACCTAACTGCTATTTCATGACAGTCTCACCGACGACATTGGTTGGGGTCGCGCTATACTGCAAATCAGTAGAAGTTAGAATTCATGGGGATAGTCATTGAATCGGATTCCAGTGACTGAATAGTATACGAACTTACCTTGTAACCGGGAAGTCCTTGGTTTGGACCCCAGTGGGTGCGTACTGCCGATGATTCCCGAAATAGGATGAAACAGCTGTCCAGTATCCCTGGTCGTGGTTTTCAATGGTTCTCTAACTGATATCAATCCGTTATCAACTCGTGAAAACAAAACTAATCCTTACAAACCAACTGTAGAAAAGTTTTCAGAATCTCCGTGCTTTTTGATAACTCAATAAGAAGTCGTCTTTAAAGGTTTTACCTTAAACAACATCATCTCAATTAGAGAGATACATTGATCATGTTAATGTTGTTATATATGTGATATCTTTTACTTTCAGATTTCTGCTCAAGTTCTTTTTTTCAGAAAAAACGCATATCCTCACTAATTAAACAGAGAATATTCCTTCGTTCAATAGATTCTTTGCTTACGTCAGTTGGCTTTATCCGGAACAGTTTTTTCCTATGCGCATCATTATACTATGATTATTGTCTTGAGTTCTAAGTGAGACATATGGCTTCAGCCAACACATCTCCATTTCATCTTGTTCTCTTTAGTCAGCTTCACAATTTCTCATAAGATCTCATACCGTTTTCACACGATCTCTCTTACTTATCAACCTCGAAGTCACGCCCAAATCATCGTTCCTTTTCAGGATCTATTTGGAGTGATGTCACTCAACGGTTCCTCTGGCATGTAACCAGCCCATCTCTTTTTCCCTCTTCATATTTAATAATTGATAGGTTCTTAGATGATTTGTTCCCGGAGCTCCTTCCTGCTAATCCTTTCAGGGAGGAGGCACCTGTTGGGAATGTATTTAGTGATGTATTCTCCAAGTTTCTGTGGTGCATAGAAGCACTGGATTGACATCAGTGTTAGAAATCATAATCTTGTTGTTCGTACTGAATGCTGTTGATCCGTAAACTGACTCTAAAATAAGAAAGGTCTATCTTGCTTTTCCGATTCTGGCTTTGATATCATCAAATTCCTCTTGTTGGTTGTTGGGTGGCTTAATCACCTCTGTCTTGTGTAATTTCCCTTGAAGTCCAGTGAGAATATTAGCTGAGTTGTTTTACTATTATGAAAGTGACAATAATCGTTCTTTTTCTGTGTTCTTCTATTTCTTTCTGTTGAGGTTATGAAGAAATAACAAAGGCTGTACCTTAAAACTATCAGAAGTCAGTATTGTGCCTTTTTCTACAATTCACAGCCTCAAAGTTTTCGTCCTAAATCTTCAGTGCATAATAATCCGCCTCTGTTGTTCTTAAAGAGTCTTGTGTTGTTGTTTTGATGAATGAATCTTGTAAAATGGAACAAAATGCCCATGCTTTGTATTATTCTTCTTACATCTGCTGCTAATGAACCGATGAATTGACTGTCATGTATCATTCATAGTGTCCAATGAAAGTATCCTATACAGTCCTACAGGAAGTCAGTTGCGAGCGCTAATAGCTCAGTAGTAATGCCTCTGACTCCAGCAGTGACTGACACGGATTCTGATCTTACAGGGGATATGAGTTCTTTCAAGATTGCAGATACACCTCGCAGATTGATGAGTGCAAGCAAGTACGAAACTTAGGTACAAGGTTTTCTGTTGACTGCCTTTGACTACCTGATAACAACAATTCAGAGTGCATTGTGATAGAGAGCCACCAGCATAATGGCCACATTTTAAACTTGACTGATAGAATTCACTCTACACCAAACGAAAAAAAACTAGATGCATGATACCAGCTACTAACTTTCATTTAGTCGAAGGGTCCGAAACTTGTAATGCAGCCTAGTCTTCATTTATTGATTAGGTCATTAAGCTGCCTAATGTTCCCACAGAGCATAATGCGTCAATATTATTTGGTTATACTTTATGAGTTTGACCACGGAGAAACCTTCAAAACTAGTACTGGTGTACTGGATAGCTGTTTCATCCTGGTTTGGGGAATAATTGGCAGTAAGCAACCACACCCAAAGGGGTTAGAACCCAGGTCCTTCAGATTACAAGGCAGGCTCGTATACCATTCAGCCACTAGGATCCGATTCAGTGGCCCATGAATTCTAACTTCTACCAACTCGTGATGAGTTTAGCGCGACCACCAACCAATGTAATCGGTGGGAAATCCATCCTCAAACTTGTCTGGTTGGACTTCACTGGACACGACTTCTCACTGGAACTCCAGGAGACTCCGTCTGTTCTGTAGTAAGTCAATAGTGAGCATCAGATTAATTTTCAAGAGTTGTTTTGTAAGGATTTACGATTTTGACCACGTCCTGGGTTCTATCCCCAGTGGGTGCGTACTGCCGGTTATTCCCAAACAAGGATGAAACAGCTGTCCAGTATCCCTGGTGGTGGTTTTCAATGGTTCTCTAACTGACATTAATCTGTGATTAAACTAGTGAAAACAAACCTAACCCCTACAAATCCTTTCTTGAAGATACTTTATTTTCACCACTCAATAACGTTCTTGAAGGACAGTCTGTACTCTTATGCATTCTGGTATGGTTTCCAACCTTCCGTTTTCAAGAAATAATTACTTTGAAGGTTGTAGCCTGTTGCGGATAGAGCGAAATTCTGTTGAATAATATCCTGTAGGTTAACGTTTGACTTGGAGATTCTATAAAAGGAGAAGAAAATGTGGCGAGAGCAGGCTGCTAGCTAATTGGTAGACATTAATTTGCGTCACTGTCTAGGGCACTAATATTGGCCCTGAGAAAATATGAACAAGACTGATTCAACAACCAATCACAGCAGACTTAACGTGGGCAAATACGATTCACAGATATGTGGCTTAACCCTCTGAGAAACCAGTCAGAAGCAGTACAGAATAACCTTGAGCAAGAAACAACCAATCAGAAGACTGTATTTGTCTGCTTGAATAAGCTATAATCATGTACATGAAATATATATAAATACGTGTTGATTTCCTTGATAAAGGATCTGTTGCCTGGCCCTTGTCTTCTGTTGTTACAAAAGCACCAGGCTGAGCATTCTGAACTGTATATACACATGTTATTCAAAACAAATCTGATGTTACTAATGTTGTTATTACTACTATTATTATTATTCAGCCATCACCCAATACATTTATAGGGATCTACCCATCCAAGGCTGTCCAGGTAATCTTCACCACCCGCCTTGTCCAATGGTATAATACTGATCAACTGTGAATGTGATCTGCATTAGATTTTCAGCTAATGCATTCTTAAACTGTCTAATTGTTAGTAAGCCCGGTAAAGACAGTTTTTTTCACCACTCAGTTAGCAACCCCATCCCATAGGGAACATAGGAGTTCAAAGTTCACAGCTTGAAGCTCTTTTTTCTACTCAGAAGTCAAAGGAATGAAAAAGAAACCGCGTTATGCATCCAGTTCACTTCCTGGAGTGAATTTTCTATCCTCTCTTTTAAAATTACCGCTTAAAAATTTCAAGTTATCAATGTTGTTACATTTTCTTCTTCTTCTTTTTTCTTATTCTAAATATAACCAAATATTAGGTTGTTTTCGATACAAACAGTTTGGGCAATAATCATTTCTACTATTCCCCTGAATTATGGAAAAGTCAACAAGCTTTACGTGGTGGTGGTGGTATTGTAACGCGCAGAATACAAATTTCTAAAAGTGTACACACTTTAACAACACCAAGCATTGATATGAAATCAGAAAAAACTGGTACTCCGTCAACATTGTCTTCAAACTGGCTAACAATGAGAATACGTTTTCATCCAGTCTATTCTCTGTATGATTTAATGTCGAGTCAGTCGAAGACGTCGGCAATGACAACAAACAATCGATACGCATCGCCATATTCAAAACACAATTTTTTAAAGCGTCTTAACACACTTGAAATCAAGCAAAATAATTTCCCGCCTAATCTACCACTATGGAAAGTATGCAGTTGTCTGTCAGAAGAATACATTCTGGAGAGAATTGATAAAGCTGATCATGGAATACGTCGTAAGGCGGTAAGAATTCTAGCAAATCTTTATCAAATAAATGATCTTCAAAAAGGTACACAGCTGATGAGTGTATTCACTCTGAGAAATATGATTCAAATTTGTTTACAAACATTCCTTGAGGAAATTAATCAAACTGTACAGCTTCAGTATGACAGTTTATTTCAGAGTTCATCGAAGGCTAATGTTATTCAACCATGGCAAAAATTATCACTGCCTAGAATTATTTATCAATTATTATCAAAATGTTTAACTATTCTGCATGAAAAACACCTGGTTTCATTTACTAGTCCTGAAAGTGATATTTTATGCTTGGATAGCACTTTAACAAAACAAAGCACGAATCAACTGTATTGTACATTGAATTCGTGGCTACGTAGTCCATTACAATTAAAGAAATTAATATTGGCTATGAATGAAAAGCTATCAGAATCTATAGAAACATTTCAAATGTTATCCACCGCTAGAGAAACAACTTCTTTAAAGTGAAATGTCTTTTTGTACTTCTTGTTAAGTTTTTACTACATATATATATATATATATATATATATATATATATATGTACTGTGGTATTTTATTTTGACTAGATTCATATTCTTCATTATAATAAAGGTTATTGTATTTCACAAGGCTTCCTGTGGCCAATTGCCTCCAACCATCTAATACCAACAATTCACAGTGCCCCATAATGGTGAGCCACCTAGTGGTATTGTGACCACATTGCAAGCTTAACTGATAGAATTCAGTCTGCAGTGAAGATAGATAGGACTAGACACATTACACTAGTTACTGACTAGTATGCAATCAAAAATACAGTCCAATACAGTCCTACAGAAGGTCAATCGCGAGGCTGAATAGCTCAGTGGTAACGTCACTGACTGCAGGTGGCACTGGGTGACGCAGGTTCGAATCTCAGTGGGGAGGTCAACAGCACTCAGCATCAAAAATAAGATCCGGATTTTCAACTCCAATGTAAAGTCAGTCAGTGCTACTCACTATACGGATCAGAGACTTGGCCAGCGCGTCATAAAGAGCATCTCAAACAAACTACAGATCTTCATTAACAGTTGTCTTCGCTCAATACTACCCAAGATCAGATGGCCGGTCAGAAAAGATCAGCGACAGGGAGGGATCTCTGGCAATGAACGAACCAACTCAGCAGGAACCGATTGTGAAACAAATAGGCAGGAAGAAATGGAGATGGATTGGCTGGTCATACGCTGAAGAAACAAACCATCAAGTGACATCACTAGACAAGCCATTGCTCGAGTGGAACCAGAAAGGGAAGCGGCGAGTTGGTCGTCCTACGGTGTGGTGACTTGGAGGAGGTCACGTGAAGAGGAAATGAAAGCATATGAGCAGACTTGGAGTGGAGTGAAAAAGTTGGGGAAAACCGAACGCAATGGAGACGCGTAGCTGAAGCCGTATGTTCCTCTAGGAATTAAAGGATATGATAATAATAATATAATAAAGATGAAGTGGTCAAAATAAATAAATCATAAAAAATAAAATAATTTGGACAATTATAATTTTTATAGGTTTAGGGGGAGGGGGGCGACGTAGTCCTGTTTATGCATTCTTGTGACGATGGCCACGATAAGGAGAGTGGCTGTACAAATTTCTTCTGGACACACAGGTTTGGCTTGTTCTACAAGTGGATTCTTATTGCTTCAGCTGTCTGTAGAAGACGAAATCGTAGAGAGAAATTAAGATTAGTCGGAATACAATAGATAATTTTAAATGCTATATTAACATCAACTTTATGCTCAGTATCTACAAGGTGTACCAAAATAGAGCTACGAATAGATCTTGTTTGTCCCTTATTTAACCATGTTGGATGATGTTCGGAAATACGATGATGAACCTGCCTAATTGTACGCCCAATGTAGCTGGCTCCACAGCTGCAGTCAAACTGGTAGATACACAGAGGAGGTGATATTAGGTGGTAGTTTGTCTTTATTTCTCGAACATAGAATAGGGGTGGTTGTGAAGAGACAACGTACCTCTGCTGCATAATAAGCTCGTTTAACTGCATTCTTTAGGCGCTGTGTTATTATTTCGCTGATGTTGTCACCGAGGAAATGTAGTTTTATGAACAGCGGTTTTTTTCGGAGCTCTTGCCCTACTAACTCTCTTAGGTGCTGAAATCATTTTTTTCCCAATGAATTTATCTGGATAACCATTTTTACTAAGTAATTCTCTAATAATCTTAAGCTCCTAATTGAGGCAGTCGTCTGAACAGATTAACCTGGCTCTATGAATAAGACACTTTACCAGGTTACGTTTATATTTCAGAGGTAATAGGAATCCATCTAAAGAAGCCATACCTATCTGTCCAGAAGAAATTTGTACAGCCACTCTCCTTATCGTGGCCATCGTCCGAAGAATGCATAAACAGGACTACGTCGCCCCCCTCCCCCTAGACCTTTAAAAACTATAATTGTCCAAATTATTTTATTTTTATTTAGTTTGACCACTTCATCTTTAATTTACGCGTTATCCTTGTAAAATTAAATTAATTTATTCTAACCATTTCTACCTTTTAATTGTGTGCATTGATTTTCTTCGTTAATTATCAACCCACTGCTTGACATTTTGACACTGACTGACTAATTATTGTTAACAAACATATCAGTGCCACTTACTTGCTTGGTAAACTGCTGTGCATCGCAATAAAAATGCTATACGTGTATATTAGAGTAGAGCCACTGTGCGATGAGGATCTAATTGAAAACTTAATATTTCTTCGCTCAATCTTTCTGTTTTCTAAATGTCGATATTGTTTTTACTGACGTTTCGCTATTTAATGCTGCTGCTAAATAGCCTTATCAAAGTATTATTAAACCGGAGCTCACAAAATCCACTCAGCATATATACAACAAAGAGTTAAGAGGTGGGTGAGAAAATAGACTACTGAGGTCAAGTTAAAAGGAGAACATATTGAAAGGCAAAATAACAAAGAAGATCACTGAACCAAATAACAAAGGTAACAAATAGTACGTCTGTTATGATATCAAAACAAAGTTTACTAACTTGATCATCGTTCGTCAGTCTGTCCATATAAAAGACCAAATCCCTAAAGATTCTCTATCTGATTGTGTCTATAAAATAAAATGCTTGGAATGTAATGTGATATACATCGGACAAACATCTAGAGAAATCAAAATCAGAAGAAATGAACACCGTAGAGTGTCTGTGTTCCACCACCCAGAAGTAAATCCAGTTGAACTAGAAAAATCATCAGCCATAGCTTGTCTATACGCTATAGAATCAGGCCATAAAACTGATTTTGGACAATATTGAAATAATCCAGAAAAACTCCAGGAATCACAAAGAACGACTAATATCAGAAGTACTTCATATCGAGTGGAATCCAAATTGCCTGAATAGGAATGATGGACTAAAACAGAATCTGACCTGGTTACAACACACCGCCCACCCTCCCCCATGAAGTGACAAAATCAACACGAATGTGATAAGCAAATTTCACTATGTAAACACACACTGCTTTTATAAGTTTACACACTGATCAAACCCAACAATCTACACCTACCTGGTTTTGTTATCTTTACCAATTGACCAACTCGACAACGCAGAAATGACGCCAGACTGACGAACGATGATCAAGTTAGTAAACTTTGTTTTGATATCATAACAGACGTACTATTTGTTACCTTTGTTATTTGGTTTAGTGGTTTTTATTACTATTTTGACTTTCAATATGTTCTCCTTTTAACTTGACCTCAGTAGTCTATTTTCTCACCCACCTCTTAACTCTTTGTCATATATATAAGCTGAGTGGATTTTGTAAATTCCGGTTTAATAATACTTTGATAAAGCTATTAGCAGCAGCACTAAATAGCGAAACGTCAGTAAAAGCAACGACAATATCGCTCATTGTTTTTCATTCATTGGTATATACAAAACCAACCTTTATTATAATAAATATCATATACCAAGTGCCCAAATTTTTTCACACTGTTAAAAGTGAACTTGGTTTGCACATATATAGATTCATATTCTGTTTTATACTTCACACTTGTAATTATTAGAGGGCAGGTTCTTTTTCACCTTATCGCGTTCCATGTGGAGTCCAGAACTGCAGTGGTGGTGCTTGGAAAACTAATAGTTAGTTATACCGACATGTCACTATTTAGAAAATGGGGATTTTTTCTCTGTCACTATTTGACAGAAGTTAAGCGTTACAAGATGAACGATAACATGCTTCTTGAGCAGTTTTACGAACTATGAGTTCAGCATTATGATGTATAGGTTTTCGAATTTTTGTTGCAGATCTTACATTGCCAGTCCAATGAATGCCCATCATTTCACTCCCAACGGCCAATTGGTTGCATAATTCAGTCTTGTCCTACTCCTGTCTTAACTTAAAATGCTTTGTCGAGCTTTCAGTTGTCAAGTGATTGGCATATCACTTCATCATATAGCTGTTGAATGGGGCTGGTAAAGTAGTGTCACAATCCTTGATGTTCAAGCTGCCGCATAATCACTTCATAGTAGACGCTGTCGACGGTGAGATAGAGAGTTGACAGACCTTCTACGCTCTGTCCGATGATGATGATGAGTAGTGTCTGAATTTGATTCATAAATGACTTGATTTTCTTGAATCTAACATGAATCTGGCGCAGTTTCCAGAGCATCTTTTGGTCTCTCAGGTATGATATGACTTAATATTTTGCTTGGGATGGACAGGAAAATGATTACACACTGGCTCTTACATAGGCTTAAATCATTCTTCTTTAGAAGTTTGATAAGGTAGTCCTTCTTGCAATCGGTAGATATCTTTACTTGCTTTCTTCCTTCCAAACTTTCTAAAAATGGGCATGAACATAACCTCCGATGTCTCGGAGTCCATTTTCAGTATTTCCTGTGGGGGGGTGGTTCTATCTGGATCCACTGACTTCAGATTCTCAGTATATTGATGGCCTTCAAGATGTCTGTTTATGTTGGAGGGTTGGCGTTCGGTAGTATTTATCTTTTACTGGTGGTAATTCTGGAAGGGTTGTGAGTAATTGTCGATCAATCCAATGTCTTCCCTATTTCACCTTCTCGATGAGATATACTCACCGATAAATCACTATAAAATAAGTACCATAGTGTATATAAAAGACGTATCCATCTCAATCTAGCAGACTTTGTCAACAACATCTTTACTAACCAGGCGAATACCAAATATGAAGCATTTGATCTGAATTTTATTACTGAATATATCACAAGCAGTGTTTGGTAGTGTTATATAAGTGTAGAATTTACAACAAAAATAATTCATATATATATATATATATATATATATATATATATACTCGATTAATCACTTTCAAGGAGGCATAAACTAGTTCGTGGACAAAATGAACTAAATATGCACTTCACATATCCTTTCTTTCATGAATATCGGCATATATATTTATCTGTATATGCTTTGAATAGTGAGTTATGACAGTAGTTAAACTAGCATTAAATTAAAATTCAATTTGTTTAAAGGGATTAATTAACACATAGTTAATAATAATAATAATAATAATTTGCTTTATTCCAGAAACAGTACTTATGGTACAGTGTGGAATTTTCAGCACTTATCTACAATATTGCATCTAATTTTATCAAACA